AATCGAAGATACAGTTTCTCATGTAAATTTAAAAAGATGATTATCTCTGCAGTGAGAATAATGAGACCTTTCCATCTTTTTCATTTCAAATGTTACACAAAGCCTGAATCGACTTTACCCTTGTTTTGATACAGAGTCTTCCTACTCCCATTAACCCTACCAACACTTGCAGTCTGCATCTGTTTGGCTTGTCAGATTGAACTCAGCCACACAGCAGCAAGGATCAGCACGAAATCCAACCTACCCTTGGAGCATTGGTACACAGTTTAGAGACTCAGGATCCCACTTCGCTCACTTGAGACCACCTGACATTCCTTGATGCTGACACATTTGTTCTCAGAATATCTGGAAGTGCTTGATTTTATAATAGCTCACTGCTTTATTTAACCTGTAGCGTAAGGTGAATTAAAGATTACCTGACAAGTGAGATTCAGTAGGATTCGGTACGGAGAGCCTCTATGTGGTACCCAATTAAACTAAGGTCTTTGTAGTCCTCCTTTTTTGCTCCGCTCATGGGAAAACCAATGTTTCAGCTAGGCAAGAAATGGCAGATACTAAAGGTTTCATGGCATATTTAATGTGGAAGCTAGGCCAGATACAAAAAGGCTTATGAAGTGGTAATGACAAAGAAACCATTAAATTGCTGATCAATTGTAATTATAGGAAATAGTTAATGAATACATAAATAAAACAGGATCATGTATCTTCCAATTACAGTTATTTAGGTATGCAAATAAGCTGTAATATATCTGTTTTGCCTTCTCCTATGTCATTGTAGACAATATATTCAATATACTTGGGCATTATGGAGTAAATCCTTCATATTTGTATTACAAAAGACACTCCGCTTCTAATTTGTATGTCAAATGGGTGATTTTAATACTGTCATTGACTAGACAAGTGGCTCATTTTTATTTTCTTGCAGTTGCCCAATGATATTTTGCTAGTTGTTAAATTAAACATTGAGAGCACTTTTCTTTATTGAGCTATATATACTCTATTTCATTTAATATTTTCATTTGTTGGGTTTTCAGTCTGGCTCTTTGACTAGATCTTAATAGAAGATGTAAAACTAGAAAAATTACAGTCAGTGCCTACTTTTGTAAATAAAGAATTCCCTAGTCCAAATATGGGTTTGACATAAAAATCATCAACATTTATAAAGATAATTTGTAACTGTACTAACTAGAATTGGTACCTCTCCTTTCTTTTCATAGCATTCAACTGTGGCTTTCTTAATATTTTCAAAATAGGACTCTGCCAGCTGCTAGCTGCAGTACACTCATTTCAACTTAGAAGATAACCTGTTACTGGCTTGGAAATCACTGTTTTTTGTGTTTTTGATTTTTAAAAAAATATTCACAAGGGAAAAAGATGAGACTTGATCAGAAGGGCTCTTATGAAAGAATGTCTACTATGACCAAAAACTGTAGGCCTCAGATGAACTGTGGGCAGTAGGGTAGTCTGAACACATCAAACTCTAGAACTTTATGAAAATTGCTATTTTAACAATTTTAGGTGTACAATAAGTGGCATTAAGTACATTCACAATGGTGTAAACTGTTACCAGTAGTTATTTCTAATTTTTTTTATCATCCCAAATAGAAACTCTGTATCAAGAAAAACTCTCCTCCCCTCTGTCAACCCTTAGTAACACTAATTTACTTTCTGTTTCCATGAATTTGCCTATTATAGATAGTTCATTTAAGTGGAATCACAGAATATTTGTCTTTTGCATTTGCCTTATTTCAATGTAGCAAGATGTTTTCAAGGTGCATCCATGTTGTAGCATGTATCAGAACTTCGTTCCTTTTTAAGGCTGAATAATATTACACTATACGTATACACCACATTTTGTCTACTCATTCATCTGTTGATAGACACTTGGGTTGTTTCTACCTTTTGGCTATTCTAAAGAGTGGTAATATAATCACCGGCATATAAGTATGTATCTGTTGGATGCTTGTTTTCAATTTTTTTGGCTATTTACATAAGAGTGGAATTGCTGGTCATAGTGTAATACTAAGATTATAGTTTGAAAGAATTGCCAAACTGTTAAACAGAAGGTGCATCATTTTGCATTCCTGCCAGGCTTGTTTCTCCATATCCTTGCCAACAGTTGGGTGTGAATTGGTATCTCACTGTGGTTTTGATTTGCATTTCGTTAAAGACTAATGATGTCAAGTATGTTTTCATGTGTTTATTGGCCATTTGTATATCTTCTTCACCCCTAGAGCCAAAGGGACTGGAGGCTGGAAAAAGAAAGTAGTTAGAGAAGGCTTCCTGGAGAGAAGTGTTAACCTTCAATAGAGGGATACAGCAAACCTGAGAATTTTTGAGGAAGAATACAGGGGGATAAACATCCTTGACTCTTCCCCTCTTATAACTTGTCAGAACTCCCCATTAGCTCAACAGCTGGAAGCCAGAGAACATGGAAGCCAGTCTCCTACAACAGACAGCAGGGTGAATAAGGGTGGAGAGTGAGTGAAAGGTGGAACAAATGGAAGCTATCCAGCACAACCATAGATGCATAGAATTCCAGTAAAGAGACTTTAAATTGAGATGCTTCCAACTTACTTGGTGGTGGGAAGGAAGCATTAGTAAAGTCATACAGATCTGTACAGCAGGTTAAAAGATGATGGAACAGCATACGCAAATAAATACTTAAAGTTATTTTTAGCCCCGTGGGGAGAAAAGTTATTAAGATCCATCTCTATACAAATACTTAAATCATATCTCAAAAATAATTTCCTGATGTTGGACTGAAGCACTAATACTGACCATAGAATTTGTTCAGTCATTGTTGTCTATAAGCATTAATGACCACAGAGTTTGAAGATGAAGGATTTATTCATGATAGTATCTGGTCTCTGATAAACAAGACATTGGCTAATTTATTCATAATGTGATGGCTCTTCATTTACATATTCATAATGTGATGGCTGTACTATTACATATTTTTTAAAATGTTTATTTATGTATTTTGAGAGAGGATTACACATGCCAGCACAGAAAGAGGGAGAAAGAGAATCCCAAGCAGTCTCCATGATGTCAGACAGCTGTGCTGACAGCTCAGCGCCTGGAGCCTGCTTTGGATTCTGCCTCCCTCTCTCTCTGCCCCACCCCCACTTGCGATCTGTCTCTCTCTCTCAAAAATGAATAAACATTGAAAAAAATTTAGAAACAAACAAGCAAACAAACAAACAAAGATCCAATGGCAGCATTCAGACTCAAAAGCCTTAAGAACTCACTGAGTTAAGGGCATGTCCTATAGAGTAACATGGACTCATGTTTCAATCCTGGCTCTGAGACAGGCAAATTAAAACTGAGTCTAAGTTTTTCTCACATGTAAAATGTGTAGAATAATGTCTCCCTCATAGAATTGTTGTGAAGAATGAAATAACATATAAACAGTATTTACTACTTACAAAGACCAATAATTAGGATTATCATCATTGTAAAGATTTCTTCTTATGGCTATCACTTAGAACCCAGAAATATGTGCTTTTCAATAGTATTTCTGTGGCTTGAATGTACTGATAGTCATTGTAATTGAAAATTGATATTTTTCATTGGAGTGATGTGGCAATGTAGATTAATGTAGCAGCAGTAGTATTATGGTAGTAATAATATATTTATTATAATTATATTATATATAATATTATATTATAATTATAATAATTATTATCATTTAACAACTTACATAAAAATAATTTAGATACCATGACTTTAGTTCTAAAATGTTCTCATTTACCTAAAACTGCACATTTGTCATTTAGTATACTGACTTTCTCTGAAATAGGTGTATTTAAATTGTTCCCTGTTAGATGTCAGATATAATAATATAAAAGAGGAAGTGAGTGATATATGACATAATTAATATCCACTTAGATCCTTCTTTAATATGGTCAGTTAAGCTTCATCATCAAGGATGACCTTCATTTAGTGTTAAAAACCAATGTTACTGTTAGCCCTGTAACTTCTGAGACAAGGATGCTTAAAATGGCTATGACCAAAAGTTTCAAAGTTCTCATCTGACTACCCTTCTAGATTACTCAGTATATAGAGACACTAAGGAATGTACATATTAGAGGGGAATATTTTATCTCCACTGCTCATTTATTTGAGAAGGAAATTTTTCTAAGTATATTCCTAACTTTGCTTTTGTCCCTCTATTCACTCTGTCCAGGGTAGTGGTTTATTTGATTGGCAAATTTGGGAAGGCTCTCTCTTGCCCTTCTTCCTTTTGGGAATAAGTTACCTGCAGGGATCAAACTACCTCTGCCACTTTTCCAGGAGCAGATCCTTCCCTCCCTTTAGAAAGAGGGCCTGTCCTGGCTCGATGTTGCCCCCATCTAGATATGTTCACCAATTCTGGGGGGTTTGTGAGCAAGCCCATTTGTTCTCATATAAACTATATTCTCTAACTTGTGTTTTATAAAAAATAACGGTGATATTTTTGACCTCCATATGCTACTCTTTGTTTTATTTTCAATCTGCTTAGAACACAGTCAGGGGAGAGGGAGACATTTTATTTTTTCACATACTCCTCGTATCTAAAAGTGGATATCCTTCCGGAATTCTCTATCATCAAAAAAGCTTTGAGCCTATAGTAAATAAAATACTCAAATCCAAAAAATTCTATTATGATCAGTTTTCAGAGCCTCCAATCAAGCCCCAGTGTGCTCCAATGGAAGGAATTGAAGCTATTTTCTATGCAATTTCAGAAAGAAGTTCAAAAACAAAACAACAACAACAAAAAACCTTAGGCTATCATTTGTATCTTTCTAAGTTTACTATTGATCTTAATGTTGCACAATGAGGGAAAAGCATTAATTCTTTTACCGGGAAGAGGTAGACAAACTCTTCTACAGACAGATATGCAAAGCTCGTTTGCTTTATGACCAACTCCTGAAGAAACATACTTTTAGACAAACTATTATAAGACACAGTTGGATAACACAGCATTATGTTCATATGACATTTCTGAGTCCACTTACCTCTGCTGTGTGCTTTGCCACCTGCCCCACAATGACAATGACCTTCCCTTTGAAGCTCTGGAGCACAGAAGTGAAAGGGCCCTGGGTAAGCTCTCCATCTGCAGTGAACGCAGCACTGAATGGAATGTTGATGCTGCCTGAAATATGACCCCGAATAAAACTGAGAAGGAAAGTTAAGGAAAACATTTATTTGTGTGTAGACTTGAGTGTGGGACGGAAACTCACAGAGGTAATTGACCCACAGGAGATAGTACGTTAAAGTTAAATGCAAATGGAGACCAGACTTAAAAATTCCAAGCGGACAAAACTTGTTTAGTCATACAAGGACAGTTTAGCTTATTTTGCAAGACAAGTGAGGCTAACTTAACCTAGGACACTTCTTGCTTATGCCTCTGAAAATCATAAGCAAAATTTAAATTTTCCCCCAATTGTTATGTGACCCCAACCAATTCCCTCTCATTTAAGAAAATTCTAATATTGTAACCAAACTGAAAACTAAGCAGTCACTACCTCCACATTGTATAAGCTGCTTTGTAACAATATGCCCTGAGCCTCACTCTATGTTTTGTTTGAGTGCTCCTGATTTATAGTCTGTCTTTTTGGTATGTGCACCATAAACTTTTGCTAATTGCTATTTCAGTGATTCATTGGTTTTACTTCTGTTTTTTTCCTTCTTCTCACCTGAACTTCTGACAGTTCTAAACATCTTGAACGCTCAAGATGTTGAATGTGTATTTTATCTAAATGAAGGTACCGCTAAGAAAAACAAACAAAAACGCTAAATGTGAAAATAGAACAGAAAAAAGAAAGGAAAAACATGAGTCAAAAATTTAAAGCAGACTGCCCTGATTGAATGAAGTATTGTAAAAGTCATCAGGATGTAGCAAATCAGTGGCAATCACATGGGTTGCATATTGATGGCTTTCAGTTTATTACTACTACCATGATTATTTTATAGCTCTGAAAGTAAACTGGATATTCTAAGATCTAACTTGATACTGCAAAGCCTATCTACTTTGGGCAAGTGATTGCTAAATGGGTTTCTGTTTAGAATTGTTAGGTCATTAGCACTGCTTGGAAACACTTCTGTTGTCGGCTATTTCTCAAGTAAACTTCAATGACATTTCCATTCTTTCCAATTTTATGTTCTCTAAAGGCATAATGTGTTATTATATTTGTACTTCAGAAGGGTTCTTCTGGTTTCATTGTGTTTTACCTTTAATTTGGCAACTAAAAGCATATATTAGTTTAAAATATTTAGTAATACCATATGATCTTTTTTCTTTAATTAAAAAAAATTTTTTTTAACGTTTATTTATTTTTGAGACAGAGAGAGACAGAGCATGAACGGGGAAGGGGCAGAGAGAGAGGGAGACACAGAATCGGAAGCAGGCTCCAGGCTCTGAGCCATCAGCCCAGAGCCCGACGCGGGGCTCGAACTCACGGACCGAGAGATCGTGACCTGAGCTGAAGTCGGACGCTCAACCGACTGAGCCACCCAGGCGCCCCTGTAATATCATATGATCTTAAAGAAAAAGATATATGCCTCTAACTAAGGCATAGTATGTTTCAAGAAGTGGTAGATGATGAAGTCAGAGAGGCAAATTAAATAATAATTATGAACTTAGTCCTGTGACCATTCTCAAAGTATTTAAATTTCTGTTAGAAATGTGAGATTCCTTTTTATGCTATTATTTGTTACCTGTCAATACTGCCTGCCCCTGTCACTAAATGCCATGAGTTTAACATATTGTGCTTCTTGGACTCTCTAGATTTGTTCTAAAAATTTTATAGGGGCGCCTAGGTGGCTCAGTTGATTACGCGTCTGACTTTGGCTCAGGTAATGCTCTTGCGGTTCATGGTTTCCAGCCCCTTATTGGGTTCTCTGCTGTCAGCATATAGCCAGCTTTGGATCCTCTGTCTCCCTCTCTCTGCCCCCCCCCAAATAAATAAACATTAAGAAAATTAAAAAAATTACAAATAAAGGCGCATATATCTTTAAAAAAAGATAAAAAAGAAAATATATGTTCCCAAAAGTAATTTAAAAGTACAATTAAAAAGATGATTCCTGGGGTGTCTGGTTGGCTCAGTCAATAGAGCATGCAATGCTTGACCTTGGGTCATGAGTTTGAGCCCCACCTTAGGAGCAGAGATTACTTAAAAATAAAATGTTCTGAAAAAAAAGTATGATTCTTCCTATAGAGTCTATAGAGGAAGACACTCCCAAATAACTCTCCAAATAAACATAAAATAACTGTCAAAACTGCTCTGAAAGAGACATATATGATACTCTGATAGAATATATCAACTTGGGGAAGATAGGGAAGGTTTTCATGGAGAAAGCAAATGACACTGAGTTAGAATTGAAGAATTAACAAAGGTTAATTAGCCAAGGGGATGGAATGGAGGTGGGACAGGGTGATGGAAGGGACACATGTTTCATGCAGAAATGTTAGGCTGATAGAGGGTAGGCACATGGCCAATAAGGAGAAAGAAAGGAAGGCCAGTGCCAGCAGAATTTAGAGATCAACGCGTAGCACGAGGTAAGGTGAGCTTGGAAGCGGATGCAGAGGCCAGGCTGAGCAGGCCCTTGTAGGTCACATTGATAATGTTAGTCTTTATCCTAGAGCATTGAAAATCAGTATTTTAAACAGAGAAGTAACAAATCACATTTGTACTTTGGCAACGAAGTGGAGAAAGGCTAGAAGACTGAATGTGAAGACTGGTTTATATAAGAAGTCCAGGCAATGTCTTGCCTCCCTTAACAATCACTGAAGATGACCATGGAGGGATGTTTATGTGCTCACAGAGGCATTTCCCCTACACTTCCACTTTAGAGATGTCTTAAAAAATGGAATAGTCACAGAGTTTTAAAAGGTTATGCTACAAGCAACTAATATTCCACCCCACCCCCAATTCAACTAGTGATCACTGTAGAAGGGGAAAATTGTAATTATTTACTGACATGATAGTGTCTCAATTGCTCCAGTTTGTAGGTTCTCCTTTAGACTCCACTTCTTCCTTTCTCTCTCATTCAACGTTGAGAGGAGAAATTGAGGCTCCTACTCTCAAGAGTGATGGTAAAGACTGATCATGTGTCTTACATTCAAAATTTTTTAGTCAGTTGCTGCTTCATCGTTTTTTTTCTTGAAAGAAAACATTTGGCATTAATAATGAAGGAAACAATTATAAAAAAGTTTTGAAAAATAAAAAGAGAGGGAAAGTAAACATTAGTACCCCGTGTACACTGTTTAGTTCGAGTCTTGTAGGATGGACAAAGAATGTATAATCATGGGCGGATCACCCTGGATTTCATCGGCACTAGGTTCTCAAACATTTATAATTACTCAATATTCTCAGCTGCAGTTTTTATGAATAGCCACGGCTTTGTTCTCAGCATATAATTACTCTGATAGTACTTTTATCTTCACTTAGGACATACCTTAGCATGGAATTTTCTGATGCCACAAACCAAGAACCTAACAACTCAAATATTCTCAGCAAACGATTCTACATCTGCCATTCTGAGTCAGTTGCCAGAGAGAGTTTCTGTGTTTATCAAACAGCCGTTATCAACTGTGAACATTTTTTTTTTTTTCTTTCTGGTGTTTATAAAGTAGCAAAACCAATATAAGCTGATCCTAGTCAAGCACTGTAGTAGACATATTTGGGGGGCTTGCTCACCTCCCACTTTCTTGTTTGAAAGAGCCCCAACTACTGCTCCTAAGAAAGGGTGAGCCTAGGTCGCTGTATCAGATGATCCTTCCATAATCATGACTGACAGTACAGAAGGGAAGGGGAGGGTGAAGGTAGATATCTGATGCAGGCTGAGCCAATCAGATCCTCTCCCTTGAAAGTCAGAAATAAAAGATAAAAGACAATGCTTAGACTGTGTTAAGCTTTACAATGTAAGTTACATTTGAGGGTCTGCTATAAAAATCTGTCAGTCACATATTAGAAAATTAGTGATTTGAAAAATAAAGTTTATTTTACAGGATAAATTCTATAAATATTTGGCTTGAAAAAGTACTCATCTGTACTCAAATAGCCAATATCTAAAATCTGTATCTAAAATCATACAGAAACACCTAGATGATTTTGTGAATTTAGTATCACCACCAATTTATTCCGTGCTTTTGAAGATTTCAGTCCAGGGGTACCTGGGTGGTTCAGTCGGTTGAATATCTGACTTCGGCTCAGGTCATGATCTCAGGGTTCGTGGGTTCAAGCCCTGCACTGGACTCTGTGCCGACAGCTCAGAGCCTGGAACCTGCTTCAGAATCTGTGTCTCCCTCTCTCTCTGCCCCTCCCCTGCTCACACTCTCTCTGTCTCTCTCTCTCAAAAATAAACATTAAAAAAAAAAAAAAAAAGATTTCAGCCCAAATTGCCTTTTAGTCACTAGAAGTCATAAACTTGTTATTATCCTAGTGTTTTCTGTTGGTTGTGCTTTATAGTTTGATTTTTAAAAAAATCCATATTAAATGTCAAAATGCTTTAAAATATGATGGCAGCAGAGACTTTCTGGAAAGAAGAAAATTATAGTCCAAAATGCAAAGCTATTCCAAATCTTTTCCAGGCTATCTCAACATTTTGAAAGATAAGGCACAACAGAAATAAAACTTTAAACCACACTTCCCCTATTCTTAGTTTAGTTCAATCAAAAAGTCCTGGAAAACATTTAAAAGCACTCATCCAAGAACACTCTTGTCATAAAACTTCTAGTGCAAATAAGATTAGGTAAGCGTGAGTGCTCTTAGGGTGGTCCACGCTCTAAATATCTATCCTTAACTACATGGTAAATAGCAGAGAAGAGTAAGGTTGGCCTAGTTACATATTAAGACATTTACTGTGAACATTACCTTTGTTTACGTAAGTTGAACAATGAAGTCCATTTTGATTTAAGGATATAGCTTCCTTGGTAATTAAGATTCTCTGTCTCCATTACAAATTCTCATGTGAAACAGACATCATATGATGAAGCAGAACTCCTTTATGTAATTTCCAAACATGTGAGAGTCTGCCAGGTTATATTGTAAAGGTAGATAGTTGACTTCTCTTACTTTCCAAGTCCTCCATAATCATAATAAAACATTAGGTTTATCTGAAAACTGAGCAAAGAGCAGATTTCTGTATATTTTGTGTTAGCTAGACAGAACAAG